AAAAAAAAAAAAAAAAAAAAAAAGCAGAAGGCAGTGGGCCCAAGTCACCAGGGTGCTAGTTCCATTTCTGAGAGTGGAGATAACAGAGCCCTCCCCATAGTGGAGAGGACAGAAAGGACCTCTCCACTACAGGAGGGCATTGCCCATCACCCCAGGCTTGTCCAGAACCGGGAGTGGCCATCTTCCCCTCATGGCTGCAGAGCCCTGCCTACCAAAAGCAAGGAGAAAGCACTTGCTAATGCGCTCATCTCCACAGAGCAGGGTTTGACTGCCCTGCGAGGCCCTTCTGCAAAATAAGGGCAGCGGTGTTGGTTACTACTGAATTCTTTGGAGGATGAAAAGAGATGGTTTGTAGACACAATCTTAAATTCACAGATTCTGCACAGAGCAGCTGACATGTAACCAGTTCACCCCTGCTCTCTGTGGCTACCTTGGAGGCAGTGTACAGGGCTAAGACCACACTGCAGGAGCATTCAGAGTGGCCAGGCTAGGGAGGAGATGGGCTGGACCACAACATCCTTGGAGGATGAGCAGGGCGTACAGGGCGGCTGTCTGGGGATAGGCAGTGGGAGGTTGTTCCAGTGACCCAGGATAGAGCTGGTGCCACACACCCACCACTTGACAACAGCACTGAGAACGAAGGCCTGAGCCCACAGAACCCTGCAGCTGTCTCTCTTGGCTAGAAGAAAGTCTGCAGCAATGCAGGGAGAGGACGGGGACAGGTGGGAAAGAAAAGGAACCCCAAGATCCCAGACTAGAGAGCAGGGTGACTCATGATTTTATCAGGTACTGACCATGAATCTCCGCTCTTGGCAGAGTAGGAAGAGAAATCAGATAGAGAACACTGAACGCCTCTACAAGAAAATGTCACACACTGCAAGTGCGCATGTGTATGCGTGCAATGTGGAGACCCACTCCGCAACTGTGAGCGGCTGGCACAGCCCCTCCAAACCCCAACACTATAAAGATGGCAGTTCACAGGAAGACAGAGGAGCCAAGAAACAGCAGACTGGAGACCTGCTCTACACCTGTCCCTGGCCCATCCACATGGCCACAGCCACAGCCACAGCCATGGCCACACAGGAGATGGAAGGGAAATGAGGTAATTAGGTCTAGCACAACAGAGACTAACAGCAGCTTTCTTCTTTTTGCTTCTGCTGCCCCCTGCTGAACGAAAATGTAACTCACCTAACCAGAAGCTACAGACAAAGGGGAAACTGGGAAAAGAAAATCTCCTGATCAGTCACATCACCAGAAAAACCAAAGGATGGGTTTCTCTGCAATCTTCATATTCTACTCCTTCCACAGGTGCCAACTGCATCCATGGCACAGTCCCGCCTAAAACCTGATGAACATTATTAATGCCCGAGAGTGCTTTCTGATCCGTAGGGTCACAGAACACTGCACATGGCAGCATCTTGTTTGTTACTCTTCAGGAAACAAAGCAGCCAGGATGCTCAACAGCCAGCTGATCAACAGCCACCTGATCACAAGTTTCGGGGAACTTGATTTATATTGATTGCCCTGATTATACCAACCATGTTTAGAGTTATAAACTCTGAGAGCATGAAATGTTTCCTTCTAACGGAATCAACCAGATAGATGTTTCCTATAGCAGGAGGACTCTCAATATGGTTAGAGGAACTTTCCCCAAAGGTTTCGGAAATCTAAACTTGAATCCAACCCTCTCCCAACAAATACAAATTCTAAATTAGAGCCCAATTAACCTGGCTTCACTCTTCTGGTTTATAAGAACCATTCTTGATTCTTCTCAGAAGGTCCACTGAAGAGGAAAGCAATTAGTAAATACAGCCCATGTACCGAGTACCGGAAACTAGACCATGGTCAGAAGCTCCACAAAGCCGTGTGACTGCCCTGCACACTTTCTTACCTGTAAAATGTGGTGTGCTGAGGAAAGTAAGGAGTAGAGTGCACCGACACCAGAGCTCTGTGCACGCTCTGGTGCAGAGTGGGAGGTCCACACTCGGGGACTGAGCCCATGTGTTCTCTAGCCGGTGGCTTGCAGGCATGCTTTCTTGTGAGCAGTTCATTACAAACCTGAAATTTTTCCTTTGGAATGTTCCTCCGGGCACCTTTTGCCAAGACCAAAGCCTCCTCCACTCTGCGGCTTGCCAGCAGATCCTGTATTTGTTTTTCCAGAGGTAATGGGACCAAGATGTAGACTCCTTTACTTGTGGCAACAATCACTCTTCCTGGGAAGGAATTGAACACTGTTGGAAAGGGAAGGAACACTGCCTGAAAGAAAACACACTGCTTCCCCCGCCTGGATCACTATTTGAGTTTTAATCAACTGCACCAGTTTCCCCACAGAATTCCTACAGAAATTATACATTCTAATGCTCTCCTTTTCTTCTACCCATGCCAACAAATTTAGGAAAGGGATAAACCCTTAGTACTACCCTGCCAAACAACAGGGTCAGCTGCTCTGTCTTTTCCATGGGGAGTGCCGAGTCACAGCGGGTGCACAGGAAAAGTCCAGGGACGCTCCCCACAGGAGAGCTGGCAGGAAGAATTAAGCTGTGCTTCACACACGATCTACTGAAGCTTCATTACCTTGCAAGCTAGACTGACTGCCGTGCAGCATTCTGACTAGAGAGAGGGCTTCACCCTCACTCTGCCTGTGTCTTGGCATTCACCAGCTCCTCACCCACCATCCAGCCAGCTCCCCGCCCAACCCTGCTATCCCCAGAGAGCCCACAGGCAGCCCAGGTAGAGTCAGGACTGTCCTAGGTCAGCTCCTGTTCCCAAGCTCCAGATTAAACTCGGCTTCTCCTTCAGAAGCCCTCAGCTCAGAAACTCCTGTTTCCAGGAAGCAGCAGGTCCCCTGCAGCTCCTGTCTTCTGAGGCCCAGCCAGGGTGGGCAGTCTTTCTCATCCCTGCCCCAGGGCTCTTTCACTCTCCTCTTGGTGTCACCTCCTTCACATCCCTGATTCCAGAACTCAACCCTCACTGCTCCTCCCACACACAGCCAGCAACACCCAACACCTCTATGTAGTCACCCTCTACGTCCACGGTTCTTCATCCAACTGCATGCGAGTTGGAAATATGCGGGGAAAAAGACAGCATCTGTAGCTCAGTGCAGTCGCCCTGGTATCCCAGAACCACAAAAAAGGGCAGAAGACAAGATTTTGTCTTGTCATTTTCCCTAATCAACGAAAAGAACAACAGCTTACATGGCCATTTCCTTGCAACAGGCCTCACAAGCCACTAGAGATGATGGAAAGTGAGCAGGAGGATGTGGTGAGGCTCTCCCTGCTGTGTGAGGCACCTGAGCGTCTATGGGTGGTGACACTGAGGGGCGCTGGAACCAGCCAAAGGACACTGAGCAAGGAGTGGATAAGGACGCCAATCACACCTCAGCTCCCCAGACGGAAGGACACACTTCCTGTGGGGACTGTGTTTCCCATTCAATTTAAATTCCCAGCAGCTGAGATGTTTCTGTACATCTGAAAATGTTCAAAATAAAACTGACAAAAGAGCTGGGTGAAGTGGCGCAGGCCTATAATCTCTGCAGTCAGGAGGCTGAGGCAGGAGGACTGCTTTGAGTTTGAGGCCAGCCTGGGCTACATAGTGAGACTCTGTCTCATCACTGCTCTTCCCCGCCAAAAAACTGAGGAAATGAAGCAACTCCTTCAAATGGCACACATCACACACAAGACGATGCCTCTCCACCCGTCATGGCCCGTGGTCACCCTGAGCAGACCCTCCTGTGCAGATTCGCACATGCTTTTCCTCTATCAGAAGGTTCTTCACAGCACAGCTTCTGGGCTGACTGCTGCACCTCCTTAAAGGTCTGGCTCAGATGCCAGCTCCTCTGTGGGCCCCTAAGTCTCCTGGGAGCACCTCTGCTCTGCTCTCCCAATGCTCCCATGCCTTGTACCCAGCTCCACTGCTTGACATCACTCATGCTGCAGAGCTGGACGAGACACACAGAGCCTGTCCCGTCCTTGTGTGCCCTCTGTTCCCCATGGGCCCCAGTAACACTTCCTGAGGAAACGCTTGGAAAGCAAATCCCATTACGATTTCAGCAGTACCTTCGAAGTCCTGCAGGATGTGGCCTTCCTTAAAGGGCAGGGTCTGCTTCTGCTGTTGGTCCAGCATGCTATGCACCGTGATGAACTCATTATCGAGCGCAATGACGTAAGGGAAGCACACGGCTGCTCCGATCACATTCTCCGACCAATGCACAGGGGCCCGCTGGGATATCCCGGCCACAGTGGCAAACATGCCTGAAAAGCAAGAGGGCAGAGTCATGTGGGTCTTCAGAGAGCACTCCCTTGACTTCCTGCAGTTTCGTTTCCAGAAAGGAAAGCTAACAGGATTCATTGCACGTGCCAGGAACCCCACAGTACTTTTTTCTGGAGAACAGAATCTTCTCTCAGAAGTAATTATACTCATATATTTTTCTAATAAAATACGAGGTTAAAAACTAATGCTTCCATTTCACTTGTATGCACACTGACAAAGCACACATCCTCCTGTAGCAAAAAGCTACTTTTCAGTTCCCCCCAGGCCACTCCCCTTGAGCCTCTGCTCTGCATGTCATACCACCATATGTTTGCTGAGCACCTGCTATATGCCAGGCTCCCCACTAGGTGTCCTACTGGGGCTGGACAGCTCAGAGTGGAGGTCTCATTTCTGATAGCTGGTTCTGCTCCTTTTTATAGAGCATGCATATATTCTCTAACAATCTACAAACTGTAGTACAGAGGCAGAACCAATTTTACAATTCATGACAGACTGCAGCCAAATTTTTTCAACAATAACTTCCTCATTAAGCGACAGATTGTTTATCTTATATATAAGGCACTAACTCTGGGGTTTACTACAACAAATAGGTTTGCCAAGAGAAGCTAAGCCATTTTAACTTGGTTTTCAAGGCTGGTGACATGAAACAGCTTTGAAAACACCATGACTCCAAGGGGTTAGGTGCTGTTGCTGCTGCTACAGATGAATGGTGTCCAGTACAGACATGGAGGGAACAAGAGCAGAAGCGGGAGAAATGCTGCCAAGGTGAGCCTGGAGCCTGACAACTCATCCTGGGAAAGGACCCAAGAAGGGTCAAATACCTCCTCAGAGTGATGATCTCAGGACACACAGCCTTGGGCCGGCCCAAATCACAAGGAATGTGGACACGAGGCTGGTAGAAGGCGGTGCTGAGGCCTCGTAATGGAGGCCAGAGACTTTGAGAAGGGGTAAAACTAGGGTTCTAATCTTCCTCAGGAGATGGCAGAGTTCTTCCCTAACAAGGACAGATATTCTGTGAGCATAAAAAAGTCTGAGCAGAACATAAGCTGGGGCAAGAGACCACTTCTGCAGAGCATATCCTTCTGTCCCAGACGTGGGGCAACACGAAGGCAGAAAGCATCATTCCCAGTGTTTCACATAACAGAGGTAACAGGTGTAATTAAAATGTGAGTGATCCAGGGCCGGGGATTTAGCTCAGTGGTTCCGCCGCCTGCCTTGCAAGCACAAGGACCCGAGTTCGATCCCCGGTACCAAAAAAAAATAAGTGTTAGTGACCCATCAATAGTATACTAGTCTGCTTTCCACCCTGATAACAAAATACTTTCAGCGATTAACAAAGAGAAATGTTTACTTTAAGCCATGGTTTGGTGGCTCCAGTCAAGAGTGCATGGCTCTGGCCCTCTAGAGGGGCAGTGATCACAGAGGGAACAGTGAAAAGAGCAGGTAGCTGAGTGGACACCATAGTCAGGGGCCAGGTCCCACAGTCCCTTCAACCCTAATGACCTATGGACCTTCCACAAGGCCTCGCAACAGCACCACCCGGTGGACCAAGCCTCTGCTGCACAGCCCTTGGTGGACACTCACTGAGGCTGCAGCAGAGCTTATTTGACAGTGTTCCTGAGGCAGGATACGGTGTGCAAAGCTATGGATGCATCAGGAGTTTGACATGAAAGCTGATCCAGGAACAGGAAGTGAGGTTGGCGCTGTCTTCAATTCTGTATGTACAGCTAGTGAAGAGAGCTGACGGAGAAAGTATGGCATGCAGCAACTCTCACCATGACGCAGCCTTCACCGAGATAGCCAGAGGGTGTGACCTAGTGCAGGGATGGGCATGACCCAGAGCAGGGACAGGCACAGAGCAATCCTGGGCATTCTGCTGAACTTCTGGTCACACCACCAGCTCTGTGGCACAAGCCCGCAGCACACAGGCCCTGTGGTACCATCCAGCCTCATCCCGTATTCAGACAGCAACACCACGGTCACCTACTTCCAGCTGGGCAGTCCACCAGGAGGCTGTGCAGTACAGAGGCTGACTCACGTTCCTGACGTAAAAGGGCAGAAACCAGATGCCAAGAACAAAGGCTTCCATAGAGTAAGAGCAGAGCCATAACTGGTTCATGGAGAGGCCAGGCCAAGCCACAGCAGGGCCTGCAGACCCCTGAGGAAGAGGGGGTGCACTAACAATACCCCCACCTGCTTCTATGCTAGGAAGAGGGTGATGGGGTCTCTCATCTCCAGCCTGGAGAAGGAGCCCCAGAGTGCATGAGAATGCAATAGGTTGGTAAATGATCGCCACTAAAAACCATCCTTTCCAGCTGGGCCCCTATAAGCTTCAGTCTGGCCTCTTAGCTGAGCTAAAGGAGGAACCTGGGGGCAGAAGAGCACCTGAATCCTCTGCCTTCCTCAGGAACCATCATCCAGGGATATAGTTAATAGCTGCCATAAGCAACTGTACTATGAAACTTTGCTTTGCAAAAAGTGGAAAGTAAACGACAAGAGTGGTCAAGAGTTGTATCTAGGGAGAAAGGTAGCAGACAATGAAAACAGCTTCCATGCTAACAGCATATTCACATTCACTAGTTATGTGCTTGAACTACTGATCTCTGAAGCCATGGAATGATGCTGGTTACTGCACTGAATCAGTAGCCTACGGATACACATCCACGTGTAAGAGACCTTACAAATGACCTCCCAATTTGCCTGTAGTCATGCCACTTACAAGCAGCATGCCAATCAGGAAGGTCGGCTCATTGAGCATGATGCCATGCAGAGGAGACAGCATGTGCCTGGGGAAAGGGTACTCTAAACATGCCCACCACTTTCCTTCCATCCCAACACTGCAGCCAACAGCAAATGCCTTCAGCATAAAGCAGGCAGGTGCTGGCACATGAACAGGCAACGGGACAGATGGCACAACACAGAAAATCCAGACACACCTGGGGAAAAAGGAAATTCCATGTACATCAAAGGCAGCCATCCAAATAAGGAAGGAAAATGTGGACTCATCAAACAGTTCATTGGGAGAGCTGGGAAGCCTTATAAAAACTGCAGTTGACACTATTCACATGCAAGGACTAGCAGAAAACAGGTGGATTTGTTTAGGCCAAGGAAGACAGAGGAATCACTCCTAATTGTGACTCAAAATCCAGAGGCAAGCACTGAAAAGGCTGATATATTAGATTACCAAGAACTTAAAAAAAATCTTTTAGTTTTTGCCTGTTAAAAACTAGAAACAAATATTTGAAACTTATATGGCACACAAGCTAGTATCTTAAATATATAAGAAATACTTTTAAGAGGCTTGTGATAACTGATGATTTTGGGTTCAGTATATACCTCAATTGTAGAGGATATGCCTAGCTGAGGCCCAGGTTCCATGCCTAGCACCAAAAAAAAAAAAAAAAAAAAAAAAAAAATTGTAAATGGCTCCTAAAGACCCTCAACCCTACACACAGGGAATACAAGCTAACATCACTAAGAAACCATTTCTGCTGCCCCAGGCTGGTTAAAAAATAGAGGTCTGGACAACACAGTGTTGGCAAAGCTGGGAAAAACTGGGACAGGAGTGCATTCCTGGGGAGAATATAAAATGGGACAACTCCTATTGAGAGGGGATACAGTTATATCTAGCAAAGTTCATGTGCATTTACATGGGACTCAGCAGTCCCCTAGAGAAAAATTTCCCAGAGATATGCTGAAAACACACACATGCACACACTCCTGCATGCAGTAAATTCTGGTTAGCAGCCCAAGACTGGGAAAAAAACCCAAATATCCATCCACAGGGGACTAATGAATAAATTATGGCACTGCCACACAGCTGAGTGACATGCAATGAAAGGAAGAAAGAAAGAAAGAAGAAGAGGGGAGCCACGCATAGTAGTGCACACCTGTAATCTCTGCTCTCTAGGAGGAGGAGGCAGTCTTGGGAACTTAGAAAGACCCTGTCTCAAAATAAAAAAAACAGATAAAAAGGAGGGGGATATAGATCAACGTGAAGGCCCTATGTTCAATGCCCAGCACCACAAAATAAAACCAAACAAAAAAGACTAAGAAGGGGAGGGCTTCAATAGCTCCAGCTACTAGGAAGGCTGAAGCAAGAGGTTCTCTGGAGCCAAGCTGGAAGCCAACCTGGGCAACACAGTGAGACCCCATCTCAAACAAACAACATTAAAGTTACCAACAGAAGGTTTTTATTTTATGTCACACAATGATCACCATAAGATATTATGGTAAAAATGCAAGGTGAAGAAAAGTAAACTACCATTTGCCTAAAAAAAGAAAAACACAAATACATACGTATTTGCTTATGGTCTCAAAAGTGAATGTATAAAGGCTACCAGGGCTGGGGATTTAGCACTGTGCCGCCACCTGCCTCACAAGTGCAGGGTTCCAAGTTTGATCCCTGGTACCTAAATAAATAAATAAAAAAAAATAAAGGCTACCAATGGAAAGAGATATGTGTGGCCCAGGAATACACTGATTCTCTTTGGCTACAGCCTACTGCACCCACATGCCTTGGAAATCTGTAAACACTTACCTAACAAAAAGAAACAAAACTAAAGCAGCTTCTTAACATCTGGAAGTCAAATGAAACCAACCAACAGCAGCATATATCCAGTTGGTGGCATAGCCACACAGAGGGAAACGCTGCCAAATGACTCCAACAGTACTTTCTGATTTCAGACACCCTGAGGATGGAAGGAACGCTTAGTAATCAGGCTTTTTCCAATAATTACACTGTGGGAACAGCAGTGTTGGTATGGCTCTGCTGTTCCGAGCACCAGGGGACAAATAAAAGGGACAGATGGTCACAGTAGAGCCACACACGCACAGACTGGCCCATCACTGCCATCTCTCGACAGCATCATCCTAAAGGGCTGAAGCCCAATGCTGGCTGCCGAGACAGTGAGCACCCGGAATGCAGTTTGGAAACAGCTGGCTCCTTGGAGGAAAGGCTGAAACCAGACCTGGGGCAGAAAGTACAGGTGAACAGGGGCAATTGGAAGGACAGGGAGCTGCCAGGTTTCTAGGGACAGGTCCAAGGGGCTCAGTTGGCCTCCTGAATGAAGTCCTACCTGGGCAGGGCAGTTGTGGCACATCCCAGCTGTGGGAGCCCATATGATCATACAGGTGCTTATTACAAAGTCACAGCCAGAGGACAGGCAAGACCACCTCAGGTTTCATCCTCTATCTCATACAAAGTGCCTGGCGTGACCACGTGGAGATCAGCTCCCTGCACAGGAGTCCCTGTAGCACAGGAAGGAGGGCTGGACAGGAGCAGAATGTGGAGGGCTGACTGTCCCTCGTGACTGAAAAGATGTAGGTGATGGATCAGCAGCGGCTGTTACCATCACAGGGATGACAAAGGGCACTGTGGAACACCACAGCAGCACCCTACCACTCTGACAAAGTCCAGCTTCCCCTGCAGAACACAAATTGAAAACCCCTGAGTCCCCCGATTCTCACATGTAGGAAACAGAAGACAGAGTGCCAGATTTAAACAACATAGGGGACAAAGTCATCAAATCAAGACTGGGAAGTTATGGTGAAACCATCCTATTTCTTCAGTGAAAATTAAGATGAGGGAGGAGGGCACATAAAGGAAAAAACCTAAACAGAGCTATCAATCAACTACAATGTATGGGTCTTGGCTGGAAATGTTTGAAATGAACTAAAATGCAAAAATCATACAAATACTTATACAATAGATATATGTACAAATATCGATATATGTATTACTACATAGATATATGTATTTATTATTTACTAGATATATTTACATGTATCTTACTAAGATGTATGCAAAGGAGGAATATGCCACTCTAAATACACTTATAGTAGCAAGGAATTCCTTGAATTTTTTAGGTATACAATAGTGTGACTGTGTGTGCGTGCGTGTGTAACACAGAAATCTACACTAGAATATTTACCAATAAAAGTCTGTGAATACTTATAGTAGCAAGGAATTCCTTGAATTTTTTAGGTATACAATAGTGTGACTGTGTGTGTGCGTGCGTGTGTAACACAGAAATCTACACTAGAATATTTACCAATAAAAGTCTGTGATGCCTGGGACTTGCTTCAGAACAACAGGCGGAGGGAGTGGATGGGGGATAAAGGGTCTGACGAGAGCCAGAGCCGGGTAATGGCTGCACCAGGTTCCTACACCATTCTCCTTCTGTATACTGATGTATGCTTTCTGTAATAAAAATTGTCACCGCAAAATTTCTTTTTCAAGAAAAGGGTGGCTGGGATAAAGAATTTTTTCTTCAAAAACTAAAGGTCTGAGCTAGCAAACCACAAGACGTGAAGAATCTTGAACATACATTATTAAGGAAAGAAACCAATGTAAAGCTCAGTGTCGTGGCATAAGCCAGTGATCCCAGCCAGGCAGGAGGCTGAGGAAAGAAGGCTGCAAATTCAAGGCCAGCCTGGTAACTTAGGCTCTGCCTAAAAATAAAAAAATAAACCGGCCAGTGGATATGGTAGAGGACAAAGTCCTGGGTTCAGTCCCCAGTACTGCCAGGAAAAAGAAGCCAGACCGAAAGACTGCATCCTGTATGACTCTAACTACGAAAGGCAAAGCTCAGAGACCTATGGGAAAAGTGAGGAGGGACTAGTGAAGAGCAGGGCCACTATGTGTTGGTCTAACCCACAGCACGTACACTGCCAGAAGGGGCACCATGTGTCTGTGCAGGGCCAGCCCTGGGATAACCATTGGCAGGGGCGTGGAGAAAGGAAGGCTGAGCACAGGGGAGAGCGACACGGAAGCCTATGCACCCATCTCTGTGCATTTCTGTGCACTCTGAACTGATCCAAAATAAATAAATAAATAAATGAATAAATAAAGTGTACTCTCGAGGTAAAATGTTAAGTGTCCGCTAGCTAGCTCACACCCTGAGTTTCTGTCATTACCAGAAAGTGTTTTGCACTCGGCACTCTGAAATGAGATGCCCACACAGAAACTCAGACATTAGGAAATATATGTGTTGGAATGAGCCACTTCTCACCAGCACCCTGGACAGACCAGGAGTCGCTGTAACAGAAAGAACAGGCCACCGCTCGGTCCTTGGCCTGCTGTCACCAGAGGCCCCAGAGGATGGCTGAGACTGCGTGGTAAAAGCCCATGACTCTTCTAAGGGCCAATCAATCAGAGTATGGACATGAAAGGACGTTAAGGACTCTGCAGTCGGATCTTCAGTGGACCCCTAAGGCCCGTCCGTGTATGAGGCTCAGCTCTGAGCGGGACATTGGGGAAGTGGAAGGATCCTCTGGAGTGGGGCTAGAGGGAAGTCTCTAGGCTACTGGGCTGTGTCCTGGGAAGGGACCACAGGCCTGCCCCTTCTTCCTCCCTCACTCCCTGGCCAGCCATGAGGTGGGGTGGCTGCCATTAGTACCCCAGGCAGGGGGCCCATCTGACCAAATTTTGACAACTGTGGCCAACACAAACCTTTCTACTGCATAAGTTGATGGCGTCAGGAATTTGTCATAGCTGTGGGAAGTTGACAGACACAGAGACATGTGAAAATGCTTAATGAGCTACCCCTACCCTTTTTCAGAATAAGGAAAAAACAATCAAGGGACAAGTCAGGTGAAGTGGTACATGCCTGTAATCCTAGCTCTTGGGAGGCTGAGGCAAGAGGAGCCCTCTGAGTTCAAGACCAGCCTGAACTACATAAGGAGATCCTGTCTCAAAAAACCAAAAATAAATAAATAAATAAATAAAATCAAGGGACAAACCTACCCACATGGGAAAATCTTATAAGGGAGTCTTGCAGCGTTTTATTTTTGCAGTTAAAAGAAGTCAACATAATTAAGATGCCATATGTAGAAGCACCAGTTCCTTGAAATGAATGTAATTATAATGTATCACAAACATATACTAAGAAGAAACTTAAAAAAAAAAAAGAACCTTCCACCAACTCCATTTTGACATAAAATAAAATTGGTTTTAGGAGCAGTCTGTCTTTTTTTTTTTGGTACCGGGGATTGAACTCAGGTCCTTGCGTTTGCAAGGTAGGCCACTGAACCGCTGAGAGAAATCCCCAGCAGTCTGTCTTTTTTTCTACTTAACCACATTTTAGCACACATTGGTTGGCAGAAACCACATTTGCACACATTGGTTGGCAGACCTTCCTCCCCAGGTTGGACTTGCACTGCGTGAGAATGTCTGGTCTGCAGTGGACCACATGTGAGAATACGGCCCCAAGATTATCGTGCCACCAGTGACATCATGGCCATCTTAGTTTATGGACGTTCACTCTATGATGACTGCTCAATGCCACAATCTCCTCACAATGTGCTTCTTCCTCCCACCTCAGCCTCCTGAGTGCTGCGATTACAGGTGTGCACCACCAGCCCCAGCTACAATGCTTTTTTTAGAGTGCATCCCTGTCACTAGGCCACACACGACTGTTCCCCTGAAAGTCTACCCCTTCCAACTCCAGCAGGCATGGGGTCCGAAGAGCATGTGCAGCCCTGAAACCCTGTCCTCACCCAGGCCGCCCGGGCCAGCCAGCAGGAACTCCTGCCTGCCAATCCTCTTAACGATGGGCCGCTTCTCCTCACTGCAGTAGGGAAACAGGTCCTGTGAGAAGCCGGTGTTGTAGTTGAGGATGATGTACTGTGTGCTCAGGGCCAGGCACAAGAAGTGGCCATCCACAGCCACAGCCAGGGGCTGCTCTGGTGTGGACACCTCCTTGACAATCTGCACACGGTCCTCATACACCAGGAACACCTGGATGGTCCTGCGCTTGACAGAGAGGATGCAGACCTCCACGCAAAATGGGTCCCCACCCACGGGGTTCTCATTGAGTGCGAAGGTAGACGCCCCCTTGATGCGCGCACCCGAGGGCACAGGTTCCAGGCTGTGCATGCTGACCAGGGAGATGCAGCTGTCGCAGAGCACCAGCAGCCTGTCGAGGGCCGAGGCTGCACGCAGCTCACTCACAGGCTTCTTGAATCCCAGGTGTCTGTGCAGCTGCTTGGTTGCTGTGAAGGCAGCAGTCCCCGAGGGCAGTGCCTTCTCCTCCAGCAGGAAGTGGTAGATGAAGCAGTCACTGGTGCCCACATAGAGGTTCCGACCACAGCACTCCACACACTCGATGTTGACACGCTCCTGGTCATGCATCAGCAGCTCCCGCTCAACGGCAGAAACCAGAGTGAAGGCCTTGACGCTCATCATGTCTGCTGCTCGGCCTGTGGAAGAGAAAGGGGGATGTGACTCTCAGAGGGACCAGGAGGAAGCAAATACATCCCAGGGCAGTAAAGAGCCACTGATTCCGCGCTTAGCATTTCAGCTGCAGAAAACAATGTGAGGCTGTTAGAAAAAGAAAAGAAAATGTTTCCCCACCAGGCAGTGGGTGACCTGCACAGAGCATACACATGTATTTGCAGTGACAGTCCTCCTCCCTCCCAACAGAGCTAAGCCACAGGGAGCATCTGCAACAGTGCCAGGAGATACACCCCAGGCCAGGACTCCAGCACATGTGCTGGTCCAAAGAGCACAGGACACAGAGACTCCAGAGAGAGGCAGAAATGATCCTTATCCACACTCCCTGTGCTTCCACAGCTATCTGAGCTTGCATTCCCTCATCTTCTGGCACCCCAGCAAGGCTGGAACAATCCAGCGATGTTCAAACTTCATGCATCTGGCCGGGCATGGTAGCGCACGCCTGTAATCCCAGCACTCGGGAGGCTGAGGCAGGAGGATCTCTGTGAGTTCGAGACCAGCCTGGCTACACAGTGAGTTCCAGGTCAGTCTCAAATACATAATGAGACCCCGTCTCAAAAAAAAGAAAAAAAAAATCACGCATCTGTATCAGGGACACAGGGGCTTAGACAACTCACAATGTTCAGAACTCCACAGCATCTCACATCCCCTGCCCACTGGACAATGGTGGCAACAGAGGAGTAAGACTCCAGCTCCCCTCCCTGAGCAATGTGAGTCTGAGTTCAAACTTCACATCTGGCCGGGCATGGTAGCGCACGCCTGTAATCCCAGCACTCGGGAGGCTGAGGCAGGAGGATCTCTGTGAGTTCGAGACCAGCCTGGCTACACAGTGAGTTCCAGGTCAGTCTCAAATACATAATGAGACCCCGTCTCAAAAAAAAGAAAAAAAAAATCACGCATCTGTATCAGGGACACAGGGGCTTAGACAACTCACAATGTTCAGAACTCCACAGCATCTCACATCCCCTGCCCACTGGACAATGGTGGCAACAGAGGAGTAAGACTCCAGCTCCCCTCCCTGAGCAATGTGAGTCTGTCCTATCCTTTCCCATCTCATGAGCAAGTCTTTGGGGCTCTGGTCTGGGTGTCAGTGTCCCACATGCAGACTGCATCACCCAGGGTGGTGTGGGGCAGTAATACTACAAAATACTTCTTTCCCTGGGTGATCGATCAGGGCCATCTTTGAAAATGGCAGGTAAAAGTGACTCTGCTACTTACACTTTGGAGTGTATCTCCTTTTATAGGAAGAATAGAAAAACCAGCTTCGGGCACCTACATCCAGGCTCCTCCTATTTAATTTCTTAAAAGCAGAATGTCTATAATTCTAGCCTCTGTCTTCACTGAGTGTACAGGACAAACTAAACACATTTGCTGCAAAAATAAAATACTCTGCATTAAGTCTAAGTACCAAGGTGGAGAGAAGGGAGGGAGGCAGGAAGTTGTAAGAAAATCACGTGACTTATTAAAAGCTATAATTCTATATAAAAAGAAGTCCAATATTGTTTAATTATCTGCTAACTAGTTACTCAAGTCTTGCTAATAGTAAGCTTCCTAGTTAAGGTGTCTAAGTAAAAGACCTGCTTTAATAATTAAACAGTTAATTTATAAAAATCAAAAATTAAATGGAAGTAAGTAAAAGCTGTTCCTGTACCTTAGACACAGTTTATTCATATAAGCAGTAGGAAAATTCTCTCCTTGTTTCAGTTCACTGATATATTTAGGTAGTTAAAATACGAATCATAAAAAGGTAAGGTTTAATCCACAACTCTGCATTACCATGAAATCTAACATCCTGGAGTCTAACTTAGAGGTTTTAACATGATAATGAAATTAAAAGTTTCCCTAAGGTGTTGGGAAAACTGGCTATCTACAAGCAGAAGATTGAATCTACAACCGTATCTCTCACTATGCACTAAACTAAAGTCAAAATGGATCAAAGAACTAATTGTTAAACCAGAGACACTTAACCTGTAAAAGACAAGATTCATAAAACTCTTGAAGTCATAGGCATAGGCAAGGACTTTCTGAACTGAACCCAGTTGCACAGGAAATGGTTCCAAGAATCAACAAATGCTTCTGCACACAGCAAAAGAAAAAAGTTTTGCCAGTGATTCCTTAGACAGAAGATTCATATCTAGAACATATAAAAAACTAAAAAAATTAGACCCCCCCCAAAACAAAAAATGGGAAATAGAAAAGTGAAATAGACATTTCACAGAAGATGTTCAAATGGCCAATAAATACATGAAAAAATGCTCAACATGGCTGGCCATTAGAGAAATGCAAATTAAAACAAAACTGAGATTCCATTTTACCCCAGAAAGGATGGTTATCATCAAGAAATCAAATAATAAAACGCTATTATTCTCTAGAGTCTCCAGTCTCTGGAGAGACTGAGGGGAGGGAGGAGAAAGTCTTCTACATTGTAGTGGGAGTGTAAACTAGTACAACCTCTGTGGAAATCAGTATGGTGATTCTGCAAAAAACTGCAACTAGAAATTCCATCTTACCCAGGTATTCCCCTTCTAGGTAGCTTCCTGAAAAAGTTAAAGATATCATATTACAGTGTTCCATGCACACCTATGTTTACAGCAGCATTCACAACTGCTAAATCTTGAAAGAGGCCCATATGACCATCAACAGATGAGTGGATAAAGAAAACATGGTATGTACACTCAATGAAGTATTCCTCTGCCATAAAGAAAAACTTGAATCAATTGTAGGAAAGTGGATGCACCCAGAGATAATAATGCTAAGTGAAATAAATCAGACACACAAGCTCAAGCATCACATGGTTTTTCTCAGATGAGAAACCCAAAGTAAAAATAAAGAGCAAAATAAAAGATAGATAATGGGAAGTAGGGAGACAGATCATTCTCAAAGGGGAAGAAGTTCAAGAGATGGAAAGAGAAGGAGGGAGGAAAGGGATAAGGGATGAATTACTGGTATTGGGATGTGTATGTACTTGTACCACCTGCACACACAGAATGAAAACATGTACTGCAAACATACAAAAAGAAAACAAAGGGAACCAAAGGATGTGTCAAGGGGGTAGGGAGGGAAGGGAAAGGGGATGAAGGAGGGAATTAAAAAAGATGCGTTAAAATGTGTTAAAGTGTACCAACTTCCCACAAGGAATAAAGACATTAGGTACTACACACATTGTTATGGTTTGGGTCTAGATGTTCCTGCAACTCCTCATGTGGTCACAAACTTGATCTAGAAGGTGTGAAGCTGGAACTGATTCATGATGCAAGGCTAGGTTCAAGGGCACTGGGATTAAGGGTGTGAGTTCTACCCGCCCTAAGTAGTCTGGATAAAATAAAAGGGGCAGGGAGATGCTGTTAACTCTGTTACCTTTGCTGCCTTGTGTGTGCCATGTTGTTCCTGCTCTGCCAGGCCTGTTTGCCGTCCCTGCCGTGGAGTTGGCTAATCATGGACTGAAACCTCTTTGAACTAACTGTAAGCGAAATAAACCACTTCCCCGTTAACTTTGGGTGTCTGCTATTTTGTCTCAGCAAGGAGAGAAAAGTAACTAAAACACACATGTACTAATAAATTTTAAAAAGTTTTCCTAAGGTACATAAATATTCCTTCACACTGTGTCTCCAACTGACCTCAAATTTAAACTTTTTGTTAGAATGTTACATTAAAAGTATGGCTGGAATTTAAAAGATTAACATTTTCATATTATCAAAAAACTTCAAAACGTGTACCTCATAACACAAAGAAACTGCAAAATGTTAGTATCTTCATGGACCATGATTTTAAGAAAGAAAATATTACTTAGGCCTCAAGTACCTCTCTGTGTGCAAAATGAAACAAAAAGTTACAAAACATTGTCTCATTTCCCTAGGATCTCCTCATCTCCTTAAGGAAATGAGATTAGGAATTGATAGCAACGCCCTAAAGACTCCAGCCCAACAAAGAAAAAAACCCCAACAGATGCATATCTTGCTAGAACAGAGGTAACAGGAAGCCAGCTGCCACCTCGCTCATTCACACCTACAAGGAGACCAATTCTCTGAAAAACCACGAGGCACCTGCTATACCTTGCTATACCTGCCATCATCACATTGCTACTCTCACACCATCCCGTTCACCAGTCTCAAGCCTATCACCCAAGAGACCCCAAAATTTTCCTTCAAGTTGACACCCCCTCCCCTACTTTACTCCCCAATATAAACATCTTGTGCCCTCCTTCCTATGCCAAAGGCCTTTTCACCCTTGGCTCATCTGCACCCAGCTGGCAATAAACTCATCCAATGTTGCTTAGATTTTGCCTACCTTGATGGTCTCACTTGTGCTCTGGTTGAATCTTACAGAAATATAGACAAATTATGGAGCAATGTGTGCTAAAGGCCCAAATAAGAATACCAGTAATTATTTTCTACCAAATTGAGACCATGACATTGTCCTTTCAGAGATTTGGCCACTTATGGTAGCTAGGATCTTGATGAGCATTTGTGAAAATGAGTAGGAAAAAGTACAAATCTTTTTCTCTAAGTGGAACCAGAAACATCATCTTCTGGTGAGCACCTGCACACATGGCTCCAAAGGCCTTCTGTGCTGACCTCACCCTGGGGGCTCCTTAGCTTGCCCAAAGCTGAGCTCCAAAGTGACAAGTCCATTCCTCTGGCACACACGGGCTGGGCACCACAGATGTTTATGACCCCAAATTTCCAAAGTCCCTAGAATTTGTATGTTCTTTCCTGTTGTGGCAGCTCTGCAGGCCTCTAGAAGACTTGACTTCTTTTCTTGGCCCCACAGCCCAGTTGGGAGAGCTGGCCCAGGAGAGGTCCCTATACAGTCTGTGTTGTAGAGAAAGCACCAGCCCTGAAAGCTGCTCATCAAGCCCTGCCAGACACATGGGAGTCACAGAATCCACACTCTCTGCACAATAAATTTTCCTGAGAATAAAGGGGGGGGGACATACGTCACTTTATTTTGTGAAGCCAGTGTAAAG